GCATGAAATATATCCTTGTCGCTTGCGATTATTTCACGAAGTGGACGGAGGCATTTGCTTTGCCGGATATGACAGCCCAGACGACGGCGGATTGTCTGGTGCCCGAGATTTTCCTTCGGGTTAGAGTGCCGGAACAGTTGCACTCTGACCAGGGTAGAAATTTTGAGTCGAATCTCTTTGCTGGGGTGTGTTTGCTGTTGTGCATAGAGAAGACTAGTACTACACCGTATCATCCTCAGTCAGATGGTTTGGTTGAGAGATTTAATCGTACTCTGCAAGATATGTTGAGTAAGGTTGTCAATGAGCGGCGAGATGATCGGGGTACCGGGGTACGACGCAAGAGAGTATCGGGGTAAGCCCTAGCCTTATGATGTTCGGTCGGGAGGTGGGGATGCCTGTGGATTTGATGTTCGATCCTCCTCCAGGTTCGGCTGATGAGATTTGCCCTGTAGAATTTGTGGAGTTGGTCAAGCGTGCAACTCGAGAGGCGCATGTCTATGCGCGAGCGCAGCTAGGTCGGGCGGCGCAGCGTCCGGTGTGTTCCCCTCTTCCGGGGTGGTTTCTGATAATACTACCTCACCTTGCTTGAGCGCTTGGTAGCAGTGTAAGCTGCGGCTGGGGGGGTTCTCAGTTGCGTTCTGCCGCTAGGGCCAGGCGCAACGCTGGGCATCCGGAGCTCCGTGGGGGGCCAGGATGATAGTCTCTCGCCAGTGGCTTGTTTCGGGCGGACTTGTAGGGGCTCTCGGAGTTCCTGATCCGTGGCTAACGCAGATATGGGGGCACGGGGCCGGCCATATTGCGGGGTAGGGACGGGGTGCGGGTTCCAGACTGCTACGGACCGTGTTGTCGGCCAAGCGACAACCCCTTATGGTCCGTGAAAATGTAGCATCGTACTGATTCGGGCATCTGTTTGGGAGCACCCGAGGTAATTGCGTCACGTGTGTTCTCTAGCCGGCTGGTACCGCGCTACTCACCCACGGACATTCAGAATTATTACCCGCATCAGAACGAATTTGGGGTTTGTTCCCCGTTAGTGTCAGAGTTTGAAACGGATTCCGGAGTTTTCCTTAAAAACTCCAAAATCCGCATCACGTGATGGTCGAGGGTGTGGTTTGCAAACTCCGACGTATTTCAGGCTGGTAGGGAAAGGCCAGGACGGTTTGTTCGCCGATGTGTGTGCGCCATAGGGTGTGAGTTACTCGTTTCAGGGGAATGCGAATGAGTACGGCTGATGACAGATTCGACCACCGCGATTTCTGCGGAAGGCTAGTAGGTGAGGAGAAGCAAGGTGAGTTGCACCAAGCACTGTGGTCTTGTGACTCAGTATGCACGCGTCTGAGTCGACGGTGAGAGCTGCTGACTGGTAAGGGTCTGCGCAATCTCGCGTTCTGCGCAGACGTGAGCGGTGAGATGAATAATGGTGTATTTTCTCCATGGTTTGTTTCAGTTGTTACCGTGAGACGACATGTCCTGGGCGGACATGTCGCTAGCCCCATCTGGCGAACAGATGGAAGAGAGGGATGTGACGCAGCCGGAGGGAGAAGCTGCGCCGGAGGCCTAGCAGATGACGCAGCCGGAGGGAGAAGATGTGCCGGAGGCCAAGGAGATGACGCAGCCGGAGGGAGAAGCTGCGCCGGAGGCCAGGAAGGTGACGCAGCCAGAGGGAGCAGCTACGCCGGAGGCCGGGGAGGAGGCTAGGGAGACGGAGCTGCTCGGCGAAGAGCCCATGGAGCTCGGCGACGGATGGGAGGAGATGCCCTTCGCGGACGAGCTGTTTTTGTCCCCCCGGCAGCGAGAGCGACCCCAGTGGCAGGGGTCGAGTCGACATCCTGGGAAGAGCGCGCCGCGGTCGTCGAGACAGCTCGTCCGGGTAGTGCGACCCCCCACCGGAGCTTCAGCCCCGGTAAAAGCAACGAGCGTCTCCTCGAGAACCAAGGAGACGGCGGCGGCGAGGGACGAGGTAGTGGTGGCCTGCAAGGGCCGGTCGCTGGCGAGGGTGGAGTGTCCATCGTGGAAGAGCAGTGCCCTGCACCAGGGGTTCGGGACGACCAGCGGAAGCCACCCCACCCTAGTCCCCGGCAAGAGGGAGTCGGGCCCGCCCCGGTGGATGGGGAGCGAGGCAGGAGGGCGCGGAGAGCCTCGGCGGCAAAGCAGGCCGACGGAACGAGTGCAGTAGGGTTCACAACCCCACCCGTGCCCCGGCGAGAGAGGTGCCGCCGCAAGTGCAGAGGCACTCCCCCACCAGGGTGTAAGTCCTGGAGGGAACGGACCCGCCCCACGCTCGTTTCGGGGGTCGTCGCAAAGCAGTGACCTCCCTGCGTAATGAGGCATGGCACTTGTGTGTCCGGTGCGGGGTGCCGACCTGGCATGTGATCGATCACCATGCCGCGTATCACCTGTGAAGGTGCCTGGTCTCGCAGTGCCCAGTCCAGGGGTGTGACAAGGCCTATCCAGGCGCGGTGCTCTACCGCCTTTCACACCACCTTGCGGCTGATTATCGCCTAGGTCGAGTGTACAAGATGGGCACGGACGGGAGATGGCCGCAGCGGCACACCCGTACCCCCGGGTACAGTGAGTGCAGTAAAGGCTATCTCCGGGAGAAGACGGCGCTGGGGCCGAGCGCCCAGAAGGCGGCGCCGGCGTCATCAGCAGCCGTCCGAACCATTCTGCGCCCGGCGCGTAGGGATGGCCGGCCATACGCGCAGGTAGTGGCTGGCACTCCGCCCACACTGGTGCCCGCACCGCAGGCTTCGAAGCGGGCGTGCCCCGTACCTGTGCCCCGGAAGGCAAAGGTGCACGCTGCCGGGGTAGCGCAGCCTGCCACGGGGCGCACAACGTCGGCTGTCACGGAGCGCACAACATCGGCTGCGACAGAGCGCCCGACGTCGGCTTCAGCAAAGCGCGCGTTGTCGACTCGAGCGAAACGTGCGGCATCGGCAGCAGCAGCGACGAAGCGTGCGGCGTCGACGGGTGCAAAACGTGCGGCGAGACGGACGGCAGCGACGGCAGCAACGGCGAGACGGACGGCAGCGACGGCGAGACGGACGGCAGCGACAGCGAGACGAGCTGCGTTGGGTCGAGCGCCCGCAGAGTCGTCCGCGTCGGCGTCCGAGTCACCAAGATCAGCTGGATCGCGGGCGGCCGCAATGGCTGTGGAGCCAGTGGTTACGGGCGGCTTGCCAAGTAGTGATCGGGCCGCGTTTCGAGAGTTCTGTACCCTGTGGGGGAACCTGCCGGATAGAGCTTTTGGGGCCTGGGACAGCCCGGCCTTCAGCAGTGCGAGTGGCGCACCGGCACTGGAGCTCGTGCCCCTGATGCCGGTAGTGCAGCTGCACCAAGTCATTGCCTGGGGCCAGGCCCAACAACGCCTCGCGCGTCAGGTTGAGAACGCGGCCCTGGCGGAGCTCAAGCGGAGGACGGAGAACGTCCTGTCCTTGTGGCACCCCGGGGACGAGCCGTCACAGCAGTAGGGGCAGCTGCGCTTATTTAGGGTGCCGGTGCACCGCTAGGAAGGCCTTTGAGATTGTCCCGACGGTCGATCTTGAAGGGGGGAGGAGTGTAGCGGTGGCATCGGACCCTCGGGTTACCAGTACTTAGCCCCCTGGTAACCGGGATATGGGTAAATGTTTAGTGTTTGTGATTGTCTAATTATCTGTCCTTTTGTCCTGTCTTGTCTTGGCTGCTTACCGATTGTTGCGAGATTAACAAAGAGGGCCGACATGTTGGGTGCAGTAGTCCCCCCTCTAGCGTCAGAGCACGGCGAAACAGTTGGCCCGCAGGTTATAGGCGGGAAATTGTTGTGGGGTTCTTGGCAGTTGGCGGGAGGCATACGAGAGACAGGTTGTGATAGAGAGAGAGAGAGAACGAAAGAGTATAGAGAGAGAGAAAGAACGCGGCACCGCGTTCTGCATAGAGCGGCCATTTGGTGAGTAGGACCCAGTATTGTCCTGTCGTTGTGGGGCGGGTAAATAATACAGTACTAGAGTAGAAGTATTAACTCAGCACGAATAAAGGGGAAGTTAGTCTATTCGTGCACGGCTGCACGGGAGGAGAGGCTGCCGGTTACTGTAGCCCTTTGCCCGGCTGCGTTCATAGTTCATTCTATTTGTTTAACCTCTGTGCTTACCCCGGGTATACACTTGTTATTCAACGTAACGTAAGGCCAGCAGGCAAGGGTGGGAGTTGCCCCGTTGTGTGTGTGCGTGTCGTTACTCGTCTTGCATTGTTGACTAACTACACGACGCACCGGAACCGGAACACGGCGGTGCGGGTTATTGCGGTGGGAGCGCAGTAGCACTGAGGCGCTCGAGTGGCTAGCGGAGTCCGGGTGACGATGATACGGCCATTTCAACGCCTCCGGGCACAACAGGTGAGTGAAATACCTAAGGTTGTTGCTAGTCACTACGTTTCGACCGGTGGCGCCATCGGGTGTCGCCGGAAGATCCCAAAACGCTACAGTAGGCTTGTTTGGCACTAGGTGGCGTTAGCTTAAAGTAGTATGGATATCACTGCAATAAGGAATTCTTTGTATGAATCTATTCTTCGTTCACGTGATCTAGGCGATCAGTGTATTATATGTAATACAGTCCTACATGTTGCAGTTTTACAATCTCTTACCACAAGACTGTTAATGCGTGTCAACTTATCAGAACATGCATGTATTATATATCTGTATAGATTTTGATATATTCTAATTTTGAAAAGGAAAATAGCTTTACCAAACCCAACCAAACCATAACCCTGGCCCTAATTATAAGCCTAACCCTAACCCTAAGCCCAAACTTCAACCTAAACGCAAACCTAAGCCTTAACATAACCTGACCTAACCTAACCTAGGTAATAACATTATTGGCACATATATTAATAAGTCATATTTGGCACATAATACGAGTGTAATACGCAGTACGATGGTGATGAGCTTGCAAGATCATATTTATATATCTTTTTGCTAATGTACCGTCTTTAAATTAATAGTAAATAAATAAAATAAATAAACATACCTGTCAGGATAGACGCTCTGCTTGGGGAACACATGCTGGAGGCACTGTAGAAATTAGTAAACCTCATGCCTTCCGCAGCCATCTGATCTATACGGCCCCACTCCTGGGATGGGTGACCATATACGGACAGGTCGCCCCAGCCCATGTCGTCGGCTAGTATGAGAACTATGTTTGGTCGGCTGTCGCTGCATGTCGAGCTAGCGACGTACGAGAACGCGGCGACTAGCACTGCTAGTAGTACGTAAAACTCACTGTTTACGTGCATCGGTGAATAGTCGTACCACACGAACGTGCCACAGAGAGAGAGAGAGAGAGAGAGAGAGAGAGAGAAAGTGTGCGAGAGAGAGATAGAGAAAGAGAGAGAGTTAGAGTGAGAGAGAGAGAGAGAGTGTGTGTGTGTGTCAGAGAGAGAAAGAGAGAGAGAGAGTGGGTAAAAGAGAGAGAGAGAGCGTGAGAGAGTGAGATAAGGAGATATCGTAGAAGCAACCGTGGTATCGCACATGCACAGAGTGAGTAAATAGCGCCGCCGAACGGAGTACGTCACGTGGGTCTACAGAGTCTACTATTTTTTGATAACATAATCTCTGTAGTTTCCCCCCATCAGTGTACTTGGTCAGATTTTTGAGTACGAACTTGGCCTTGGAATGGCGACATCGGTTGTGGATGTGCGCATGATCAATGACAGCTGATCAACGGCTGGTGGTTTTATTTGCTTTTATACACTTTTAGAACGCAACGGAGAAAACTAGAGAATAACCAAAGTCGTGTTGTTAGCATTTAGAAGACTGTTACACGACTATTTACACGACACTTCCCTAGTAGACTATAAGCAATAATGAAACAATGTAATAACTTACACACAAAAAACAATTACGCATAGAAATAATCATAATAACGACAACAATAATAACGAAGCAATGTATGAGATGCGATAATGTAATATACTAATGTAATGCAAGACAATGGATTAAAGAATAATGTAGATTTAGAATGAAATAGATAGATTTCTAGAAGCACGTAATAACAGAACACGAACAGCCCTCGTTCTCTTACTTTCTCGCCGTACGAGCAGATAATGTCTACCAGTCATCACTTTTTATCCCGCTCAGCACAAGACACGCCGCTCCCCCTCCCCTCCACCACACGGTTACAGTACACACGGCGTCTATCGTAAACATTGACTCGTGGCAAACATATGCATACACACACACACACACACACACACACACACACACACACTACACACACACACACACACACACACACACACACACTACACACGACACACACACACACACACACAAACACACACACGCGTACGCGCGCGTACAAACTCACGCATGCGCGCACAAATGCACACACACAGACGCGCGCGCACGCACACACACACGCACACAGACACGCGCACACAAACACACGCGCGCACACACACACACACACACGCACACATACACACACATACAAACACGAATGAACTCACGCTTGCACGCACAAATACACACACACACACACACTCACATATATATATATATATAATTAGATAAAGTTATAAGGACATGGTTGTATACTTTTGCCTCTGTTTATTGCATACAGAGCTGTTTCGTATGGAGCGAAGGCCCCATACTCATCAGTGCCTAATACAGAGTGATCTATTTAGAACATCCCGAGCAGTATAAAAACATCCTGCATAATGTGTACAACAACATAAACTATGCGACCAAATGGAAGATACAGAGCAAAGCGCCACGCTACTCGAACACTACGAAGAAATGCAACCTATGCTTAACAGAGAAGTTCTACATGTTGTGCAAACCTGAGATCGCGACACTGAACAATAACTTGTTAGAACTTGTTAGAACGAACTTGTTAGCAAATGCAGACATAAAGATAAATGTTTATTAAGGAACGTTAAGTGAACTCTCACAATGAATTCAGTTTAGCGTCAGCCCGCAGCAGTCACCGACAATGTTGCTCTAATTTGTATTTCATTAGAACGCGCACGCATGCATACGAACAATAGAACACATTATGCATGATGTTTTTATACTGCTCGGGATGTTCTAAATATATCACTCTGTATTAAGCACTGATGAGTATGGAGCTTCGCTCCATACGAAACAGCTCTGTATGCAATAAACAGAGGCAAAAGTACAACCATTTCCTTATAACTTTATCTATATTTGCTCTACTCATGGTAGTATTGAGCACTCTCGACACACGAGTTCATAAACAACCATTGGAATATATATATATATATATATATATATGACAGAGAGGGGAAGGAAGAGGAGAAGGAAGAGGGCACATGAGGACGAGTGGGTGATGGTGAGAAAGAGGGGAGGAGACGGAGGTAATGGTGGTGGTAGAGGCGAAGAGGAAACGCGAGTATAGCAAAATATACTGGGCATGCATGCATGAACACAGGTCTTCCACTGGTTCCATGGTTCCGGGAAATTTGTTACGACTGGTAAGAGAATGGAAGTGAGATATTTTATATTAAACTATTTGTGAATACGCGCACTCTAAATGAAAAGCACATTATTCTTGTAATTCAAATTCATGAAATTACCAAATCGTTCATTAAGCCCCGGTCACAACGAGCCCACGACGCATTTGTGCCACGACACGACAGAAAATTTGGGCAAATCGTGGGTCATCGGGGGTCGTCGCAAGACAGTCCTACGAAATTTTGAGCAATGTGGCATCGACTTGCCGTCGTGAGGCAAAATTAAACATGCACCTTTTTTGTTCCACGATATTTTGTGGTATCTATGTCTTCTGGTTGTCGTGAGTCTGGCCTACGACAGTCTTGCGACAGTCTTGCGACTGTCGTGCGATAAATATCTTGTCGTGGGTACAATAAGAATTTTTTAGTCAAACAATCTTACGACTGTCCTACAACTGTCTCACGGCTGTCACAGGACAGTCGTGAGACAGTTGCAAAATTGTCTCACGAATATTATATTTCGTAAGAGGGTCGCACAATATTGCAAGTCTGTCGTGCGTTAGTCTTGCGTTAGTCTTGCAACATATTTTCGTTTTTTGAAAGGTATATAGCTCGGGCGAATGAACGCTTGGAAATAAAAACTGTCTTTCGGCGCTGAAAGAGGATGGCTATTCCACCTGAGCGACTACGCGTGACCCTTCTGAGGGGGCGTCTGGCGGAACTCCAGCACGAGCATAATATAGTGATGTTGGCGTTGATCCGGGCCCGGGAGCAGCGCAGGATCCGGCGAAACCCCCGACTTTGGTGGGTTCGGCCGTGGATCGAGCGGCGTCTGATGTTTGGGCAGTATAGTACTCTGATGCAATGGTTGGAGCGGGAATCTGCCGGTGATTTCGTGGGGTTCATGCGAATAAAGTCTCTTGGATCTTCCACCCAGGCCACGATCTTCAACTCCTGATCCTTGGAGATGTCGTCTGGGCGGGCGATGTTGATGACAGTGCCGCCGTAGTCGTCGGGGGTCTTGCTCTTGCTCTTTGCCTTTGCCTTGCCGCCCGCAGCCTTCTTCGCTCTCTTGGGGACAGCGCCACCGCCAGTGCCTGCAGCCTCCTCCGGTCACCGGCGGTCACCGAGTCGTCAGCCACTTTTACCACCTTTCTCTTGTTGGTTTTCTTCTTGGGAGGCATCCTGGATACTAACTTAGATTAAATTTGCAAAAAGTTGAATAAAATAAAGTGACAAATGTCAAAAATTCGGGCAGAACTTCGATGTTTCCACTGGAAAATCTCTGCAGCAAATGGCAGGCAACAGACCGGGCCTCGTTATATATTCGGGAGACGGACGCGCGAGCGACCCACGAGTGACCCACGAGTGACCCACGACTGTTGTGCGACAGTCGCACGACTGTAGCACGTGCATCCCACAAGTGAACCACGACCTGTTCACGTGAAAAACAGCCCCCCGACAATGCTCGACAACTCACGACTGTCGCACGACTGACTTGCGATACACCCACGACATAACCATGACATATCTTTTTTTCCTGTCGCATCCCCATCGCAAACCATCTTTAAGGCCAAGACACGCTGCAGCGACAGCGACCGACCGCAACGACAAACGACAAAGTCGCGGCGACTGGCGCAGCCACACTGCAGCGACAACGACCGACCGTAACGACAAACGACAAAGTCGCGGCGACTGGCGCAGCCACACTGCAGCGACAACGACCGACCGTAACGACAAAGTTTATCCAGCACTCACCACAGTGCCAGTGCCAGTGGCACACATGAGCAAACGGCAAAAAACTCCTGCTGCTGTTTTTAAATAAATTGCTGTAAAAACGCTCTATGTATAACGATAATATAATAAAGTAATATTATACACAGCATATGGCTGAACGTCTAATCGCTGACCGTAGCCTTGCACGTTTTGGTTAGATGGGTTCGCGGCCCCACTGTTTCTGACAGGCGGTGCGAGTTTAGCGCTGGGGACCAGTCTACTTTCGCTCATAGGGTCTATGTCCCCAAGGGTACTGCCGGAACGTACCCTGGGTACGGTCCGGTATACCGGAACGTACCCTGATCACTATTTGATATGGTTAGGGTTAGGATTAGGGTTAGGGTTAGGGTTAGGGTTAGGATTAGGGTTAGGGTTCGGGTTCGGGTTAGGGAGTAGGCGTAGGCGACTGCCTGGACTCGTTAGTGGAGTAGGCGAGGTACGGTCCGGCATATTAGATAGTACCAGAGTACGTTCCGGTACACCCCATGCACCGTACCCAGGGTACGTTCCGGCAGTACCCCGGGGGACATAGACCCTCTCAGCTCTACTTCCTGGCTAGCATTGGTTTATAATTTTATGACGTAATGGCGATGTCACGTGCCGATGGAAACGGCTGTGATTGGCCATTTGTAAAGTGTCGCCGGCGAAAGTCGCTGGGAAATAGAAACGTTTCTAAATAACTTTGTCGTGGAGGTTGTCGCCGGTCGTCGTCGCATTAGTGTGCAATGGCTCATAGGAAACAATAGTTTCTAATTTTCTGAAAAGCCGTTTGTCGTTACGGTCGGTCGTTGTCGCTGCCTTTAATGTGTCGTAGCCCTAATTGTGACCACTCGAAACACATTTCGGGCATGTCGCAAGATCTGGCCACGACAAATATTTTATGGGTCTACCACGACAAAATTTCGTACGATCCGTTGTGACCCGGGCTTTATGTAAAACCTGGACACATATAGCTGTATAATTATTTTGCGTATAAAGGGACGTATCGCCAGGGAGCTGTAATACTGAAGGCTGAACGAAATGACGATAAGTCTGGATTTAAT